CCCCGGGCAAAGCTGCGTCGACCCGGTGTGGGCCGGTGGTGACAGAAGTCCTCGTCGCTTTGGGCTGTCGACCCCGGCTGAGCCTCCGTTTTTCCCTGGAGCGCCGCAGACCAGCGCTCCTGTTAAATTTAGTAGGGCTTTTCGCTCTGCGAACCCGTGTGGGGTGCCTCCGGGTGCTGCTGTAGCCGGTGGAGCAGGTCACACAGTGCTGGTTTACCCGAAGAGTTGGGCTCAAATGCAGAAGTCAGCCTCAGGAGTCTCCTTTCAGAAAAGATGTCTAAATATTATGTTGATGTTTCAAGGACCTAGTGTTGAATTTAAGACATTAGGTTGTTTCTGGGATGCAGAGTTTTGAAACTGAATTGCTACTGTACCTTTCTTCATCAGTTTCCTTATCCATAGGAGCTTTGATATGTTGTTAACTTTGATAATGTGTCATGTAATAACCAAGTTTCTTCTTGACTTAAATATTTTCTCTTCTGTATGAAGACCAGTCCTATCAGAACTGCATCTGACCTTTATGACCTCGTTCATTGGGACTGAATTTTGGATGTTTGGTTTATCTCCTAGTGGCAACAGTACCTAATCCTATTGGAAAAAAACGAGTTATCTCTTGCTACCTGGAGAACTCTTGAGCAAGAGCCAAAACACTGGTATTGTCATTGTACTCAGGATGATAATTTCTGTGGAGTTCATATTTGGAAAGTTAGTTACTCAGGATTGATGACTAGAATTGAATCTGTAATTATTCCTTTATTTCCATTAAGAAACGTTTCTGGTTCTGTTGACCAGTAGGTAACACACACCTTTTGGATGTAGTCAAGCCATTTACTGAGAAGCTACTGTGTGGTCTGGATGACAGATACCAAAAATGAGCTAACGCATGGGACAGAGACCAAACTTACTAAGTATCGTTTTGATTTACATTGCAGATCCTTCCACATTCACTGGGAGGGTGTTTTCCTCTGAACCTCTCAACAAGTTATGTAAATAAATTATCTACTCTTAAAAAAAATGATGTACCCTTAAAGCTTGTGTTTTGGAAAAGCTATCTTATGTTGTAATTTTATTTTCTTCTATATGTAACACTTAACTTTTCTCTTGTATTACTTCTTGAAGATTAAGAAGCAAAGTATTAGTAAAAGTATGTTGTCTTTGAAAAAAGTGTGCTGCCACTTTTGTAACTGCTTTATTTATCATATAAATGTCCTTTTATAACGGACAAAGCAAGGGACAGGGGAAAAAAGGGATTTTGTCTATAAACTAAGTGCATAATTCTGGTCAGCATAATAAGTGATGCACGACAAAGTTGAGTTTCAGATATACTACAAACTTTGTAATGTTTTTTAAGTGCTTTGGGTATTTTTGAGTTTTTTGTAAATAGATGTTTTTCTGGTTCTTGTTTATTTTCAGGAGAGCCTTATCGGCTTTTAAGTGGTACAGACTATGTTGTTGGACGCAAAAACTGTGCGATTTTAATTCAGGATGATCAGTCCATCAGCCGAAGTCATGCGGTTCTGACAGTAAGTCGTCCTGAAACAACCTCTGTAAGTAGCTAACCTTTTACTGCATTGTCAATACGCTGTGTGGATAATTCAGGCTGCCATGACTATGCTACTCTCATTTTACTCTCACTGGTATTTTATGCTTGAAGTAGAACCATTAATTGCTTGTCTTTTCTTAATCTTGACTTTTTTTTTTTCCTCAAGGTTGTTTGCCTGTGTTGAGAAATTTAGTGGCATAATTTTACTGGTCCAAGCTCCCTTTTATCCCAGAGTTAAGATTCACTAGGAATTTGTATTAAAATAATCACAGCGGGAAAATTATGGAATTGAATTTCATTGTATAGACAAGTTTTAGACCTTGGTTTTGGAAAGTGCTTCAGTTATCTTATTGCAGGCTTAGTTTGTGTTTGATTCCACGTTATTAATTCTGTATTTGCTTTATTTTCAGCAAATAAAAATGTCCCAAGGAGGATTAACAAGCAGTGATTTACTGTCACTCATGTTTTGCAGTATTTGTGGACATTTTGCAGCCAGTCAGCAGGAAAAAGGAATTTCATTTTTGTAACCATATGAAATGAAATACCAACAATTTGTCATTTTAATACTGCAAATAGTGTATAACTATGTAGCAAAATTTCTTAAAAACAGGCTGACAGTGTTCTGATTGGCTTGTGAACCATTTGGGAAATATGCAAATGTCTAACCTCTTCTCAAGACATGCTGGTGTCACCATGCCCTGCAGCTTGTGGAAGGAAGCAAGGGAAAGTGATTTGGGCACCTATGCCAGGGCTGAATGGTTGGTAAAAGCATCGATAGTAAATCTTTGGAGCCTTGCTAAATCGTACTAGCAGAGGCTTTGGGCCAGTGAATGATTGCCTTGCACAGCCTGCAAAAAGACTGAGTGTAAGAAGCACAAAAGTTCTGAAGCTAAAAATATGTATGTTTTCTCTCGTTCCTTCACAGTGGAAACCAGAGGATGAATAGTTACACATAGCCAGCCTCATTGTCCAAAGTCTTTCTTTAGGATGGTATTTTCTAGGCTTTTTCTTATTTATCTACTGCTTTGATCCATAATGGTAGTAACCCATTTCTGATAAAAACTATCTGATTCTGATAAACTATAATGGCTGTTTTGTTTAACTATGAGCTATTTTGCTAACTATAATGTTTATTTTCAGAGCCAGCCTCTCTCAGTCCCTGTATTAACAGTAAGAGATACATCTAAGTATGGTACTTCTGTTAATGGATCAAAACTCAATGGCACTTCAGTGTCTTTGCAGTCTGGTGACAGAATCAACTTTGGAGTCTTCGAGAGCAAGTTTAGGTAAGTGCTTTGATTATGAAATATCAAGCAGAAAATTGTGGGTTTTGGAAAGAGTATTTCTGCACATTGTACAACTTGGCAAGCAATACAGCAATTATGAGTTTTTAGAAGGCAAAGGAGATGAGTAATATTTTGCCTGTGTTCCATAACTGCTTCTGCAATAGTTTTCCATTACATATTTTTATAATACAATTTTTGTATTTTTTTTTTTACACTAAGAGATTAAAATCATTCATAGTAAAGCACTGGCATTTTAGAAGATGTTGTATCATGTACAGTGGGTGTTTTCAGTCTATATTAGGCAAAGAAAAAAATCCTGAAACATTAATGGCTCTAAAGAAGGGAGGGCAGTTTAGGGTAGGGAGAGAGCTTGTCTGAGCCCTTATTAGCTGTTGATAATATAATGAGAAGAGAACTGAGATAGATGGAGGATGCTTTGTGCAGCACTACTTTGAGTGGGTGTTGCTGTGATGGATGCCTGCATTCTCCTTAGTGAACCCAGCTTGCTGATTTTTCAAATTTGACATGGTAGCCAGTGGTATCTGAATATACAAAGCACTCCTTGAAGTAAGGTGGCAGGTAAATAGAACAAATTTTAATGACCATTAAAATCAACATTAAAGCAACCAGAAGTTGGCTTTGTTCCTTAAACTTTGATTCTGTTTTGTTACTGGTGATGGTATTACTTGACAGAAAAAAAATAGCATTCCTCTCCACTTACTACTATAATTTTTGATATTTTAGATAAATGTAGCTGAAATGTGGTACAGAAATCATGCTGTGAGACCAGATGCATCGTGATTCTTGTACCAGAAAGATTATTTGTTTCTGCTTTGTAGACTAAACCAAATCAAATATTGGAATTTGATATGCTGAAATTCCATACGTAAGATCTACAAATATAAATACACTTATGGTCAGGGGCAATGGCAGTGTAAGGAAAAAACATTACTTGAACTTGCATTGTACAATACTTACCTCTTTTAAGTACTAAACTGTTTACAGACTGTTCTGTTGAGCATACATTTGCCTTTGGAAACACACACTCAGTACTGACCTTGCAGTATTCTTGAAACACTAATTCTATGTGATGTCTGGGAAAGATCCAGAAGTCCTTAGAAATATTTCAGACATCAAGTCAAAATGTTGTTAATTTTTCTGAATAAAAATCAGTATTTACTTTTTTCATGAAATTTTAGAGCATAGGCTTTGATCTAGGTAAGAGTTACGGGTCTGTCTTCCCCCCACCAGATTTCTCTGAGACACAAACACAATAGTTGTCAGTTCTGTTGATCATGATTGGCTGAAATAACTAAAGCAGTTCTCTTCTGCTTGTTCCTTTCAGAGTAGAGTATGAACCTTTGATTGTCTGCTCCTCATGTTTAGATGTTGCTCAGAAAACTGCTTTAAATGAAGCCATCCGGCACCTTGGAGGCCTTGTAGTGAATGAATGGACCAAAGAGTGTACTCACCTTGTAATGGTATCAGTAAAAGTTACTGTTAAGGTATGTTGAGCTTTTGCATATTGCGTTGGCATTGCTTTGCAGTTTTCCCACAAATGCGAATTAAGTTCTAGACCTGATCAAGACTTTCCTCTACAAAGCAATGAAGTAAACTCTTCCTTTTCCAGATTCAGAAAGACATGTGTGTTAATGGGAGGTTGGAGGGAAAGAAAATTTAAAAAGCCAGCTTTGAAGACTGTTACTGATTTTCATCAATTGCCTTGTAGATTTTCATAACTTTGGTCAAGACAGCAGTTAAAGGAAGGAAGGAAAACGGTCCTGTTTCAGTAGCAAAATTCAGTATTTTCCTATTTGTTTGTGGGATGTTTGAACTATATTATAGCTGAACTTTTTCCATAGAGGAAATACCTATTTTCTGTCTTTTCAGACTATATGTGCTTTGATTTGTGGTCGACCAATTATAAAACCAGAATTTTTTGTTGAATTAATCAAAGCTATTCAGTCCAGACAACATTTGCCAAATCACAAAAGGTAAGTATCATGTTTTCAATGTCACAGAATTAAATTTATAGGAGTTAGATTATCCAATAACTACACATTTAGCTGATTATATTTGACAGAATATGTGAATTACAGTGGTAGAATGCTTAATATGACACACATTTTAATATTCAGGCAATTTCCTTGCTCTCATCCCTTGAGTTGTAAAGTGAGCTCTTGGAATTGACTATATGCTTAGAGATTTTACTAGGTCGAAATAGGGACTTAATTTGTTGATATGTTTGAAGCAACATTTAAACTCTTGGGAGTTGATAAAGCAAATGCACCTTAGTCTCACTTCATCTCTTAACAGAAAATTTTAAACCCCTGTTATTTGAGGGAAGGCAATGGTCAGGCTAACTCCGTTGTGACCAAAGTTTATGGTAAACTCAGTAACTAACTTCGTACTGGGAAAAATATGTCTACATAACAAAATGTTTGATGTAATCTTTCTCATAGAAATACATGGTCTTCTCTGTACGAGAATAAAACATTCATTGCTTTCATGGTTAAATTAACTTGAGAAGTGAATTCTTACTTTGGAATAAGTAAGTACTGTAGAATAGCCCTTTCAGTTACTTTCTCCATGTAGAAAAGTGTAAAATAATCCCATTATTGTATGATAGAATTTCATCTGAGCCTGTATTGCTACTATTTTTGCCTTGAAAAGGGAGACAGTTGTGTTTTGTTAGTTTGTGGATTTTTTGCGAACACATGATTTATGCAGGTGAGTAATTGCCATCATGTTTTTTTTAAGGTAAACTGCATGGGTACTTGTGTTTTTATTGTTTCCACTCTTTTTATGCTTTGGAGGATACTGTGAAATGAAATACATAATGAATGGAAATTGTTAGAATACTTGGCATTTGAAAAATAACATGTTGAACATTTAATGTCAGTTAACAGGGAGAAAAACTTGTGAAATTACTTTAAATGCATTCAAGACATTATGATTTTTCTGGATGTATTGTTTCAACCAGATGGATGCTGGACACCAGACATTTGAGTTGGAGGAAATAAGTGGTGGAGAAGACACTTTGTTGCTTTTGCATACATACCTTATGTGTTAGGACCCAGCAATTTAATTTATTTTATCTAGTGGCTGTGATGATAGCTATTGGCAGAATAGTTTGAAGAACAATGGGGCAAAAAGGGCAGCTAAATAAACCTCAGTGGTGCAGCTGCAGAGGATTCACAAAGCTGCATTTGCTACGTTTAGAATGTATTTCATGGAATGTGTCAGTACCTGGTTAGAACAAGACAGGTGCCAGTCTGGAGCAGTTGATAGCAAATACTCTTTATATTCCAGATGATGTTCTACGTTTGCAAGGGTTTATGTAATATGTCAAATCAGTCATCTGTGAGTGGTTTGAAGCTTACAAATTTTCAGAAGAAAGGGGGAATCTTCGCAAATGTAACTTTTCCTTCTACTTACGTTTGTACCTTGTTTTATAAGGACATGAGAAAACTAAACAAACTATTTAGTCCTCTCTGAAATATTTGACCTAAGGTTTTCTGGCAGGTTTTTTTTTTTTTTAGTACAGGTAGTGTAAGCTATCAAAAGCTAGCAATTTGTTGTGCAATCTGAAATTTGCTTGGTCTAATGTTACCTCGCTGTAAGGCCGCTGTTACTGACTGTTACACTAAGATGATGACAGTAGTTTGGGCTCTTGAAACAGGTGCGTGTTGTCCATTCCTTAAATAGAGAAGTGACAGTATAATATAGCTGTTATGTGCTCCCTCAAATAGAATCAGATGGATATGTTTACCTTTCTTAACATTTTTTTTTTTTTGAGTATTGAGACCCTCAGAGGAATTGAGTTCACTAAATGTGATTGACACTAGCAGTATATCCATTATTTAGCATTCACAGAGAGATTTCTGCATCAAGCTAAATAAGACAGCTGGTATAATATGTACAGTATCTTAAATAGATGATATTTTTAAGGTGAAGCTTGTGGGAAGATAATGAAAATTGACTTAGCAACTAGTTGCATTGAATTTCCAAAAATGCTTTGAACTCCCGCAGGGAATCTCTACATTGAGCGCTGTAGTTAGAGCTGACCTGAGCTGGTATATCTACAAGACACTAAACAACTTGGATATGAAAGAAGTTTGGATATGAAATAAAGCAGGAGTATTGATGTGGTAATGCAGGTTGATGCTATTAATCTTGACTACTACTGTAGGTCTGATTAAAAAAAAAAAAACAAACTTAGGGTAATTTAATCTTAAAGTTCAAAAAAATTTAAATTTCTTTTTGTTTATACTAAGACTTCATATAATTACAAACCTGCAGTTCACTTAATGAACTTTTCTTGGGGATTTTTATGGTGAAGTATATTATCCCAGTCCTCTGATACTCTCTGATAACCTATGTGAGGAAGAAGAATAACTTAAAATTTAAATAATAGCTGTGTAACTGCAGCCATATATGAAATAATGTGTTTTATTGCAGCAGTCCAGTGTAAATAGTGCAGGGCTTTGAAAAAAGTAGGAACGTAACAGCCTTTAACAGAAACTCATCCAGAATCAAAATCTATTTCTTGAAAGATTCAAGACTGTAGAGGGTCTTTTCTGGATAGTGGTGGTACTGTTCAAAGCTTATGGGTGGAGAGTACAAAGAGTGCTTCAGAATCAGAAGACTGAAGAAGACTATGTTGTGGTTGAGCTTAGATCAGCATTGGATAAGAGTTTCAAAGGACAATCAAAGGGTTCTTTAAGGAGGAGATAATCAGTTGAAGGTTCCTGCT